GTAAAAGTTCTTTATTAAGTAAAAAAAAAAAAAAAAAAAAAAAAAAACATTAATCTTTCTATAAAGTTTAACTGATATTTTTTAATGAAAAATACAGTCTAAAAATGCTTACAAAACGGAAGATAAATATATGCATGAGGTTACCTGTATAAAAATTGTTTAATTAGTGATGAAATTAATTTCTCTCACATTTGATAATCTGATATTATTTTAATGAATATTACTGTTTTGTTTCTGTTTATTCTTAAGCATTTAAAAATTGAAAATGAGTAGAAAATTAACCATTAACATTTTAATCTTTAGCGTGCAATCAACTTTTTGGATGTCGATTTATTAGTTATGACAAAAGTCAGTTACATAATATGTCACTATGCGATTTAAAAAAAAAAAAAAAATGTGTACTACGCTATCGCCATGCGAAGATTTGTAGGTACTTTATTTTTTACGGTGATATTTTCAAGGACGATGTTTTTGAACCGCTTAATTTTCGACCACGGTATTTTAGAACCGCGATGTTTTTCTCTTTCCTTTATTTTATCCCACGATATTTTGTACCCCGACGTGTTCGCCTTGCATTGCTTTCTCTGCGACGCTTTCGTCCATGCTGATTTTGCAGCGATGTTTTCAACTTATGCAAGTAAACCTCAACTTTACACACATTTTCACTACACGGCTGTAACCGGTTGTCTAACCTTGATTCCTCCCCTGAGCTGACGCTGATGACAACTGCTTGTTTCTCCCGCGCAACTGCCATTGTCAGTCTCATCTCATAGTTGATTATATATGCAGAAGGTTGTGCGCGTTATTTTGTGTGTGTGTGTGTGTGTATTAGACATTTGCTAACTTGGATAGTTTGATTTACGCATTGATACCAAGCTAGGTGTGTTCTAACCATGGCGTGTTCAAGCAAAATGCGAAAAACTCATCACTTTCATTCGGAACGGGAAATCGATTACTTCTTTACCTCCGTAAAGAATAAATGTGTATGTTTAATGTGCTATGGAAGTGTATCAGTTCGTAAGAAAGCAGTGAATTCAAAAAACACTTCCAAGCTTTCAAAAGAAATTAAATTATTTGTCGAATCACCTTTTATAGAGATTAATGCTGAAGAGTTCTCTATTTGGTATTATGGAGCATTTTGATTTTCAAGAATAGTATAATGCTGCATTAGAGTTGATAGTGATTGATTTTCAGGACGATATATCTGTAAAATCACATTCTTCAAACTCTAGTTAAAACTAGTTGAAGTCTTGTTTCTAAAGAAAAATACCCAACGTTGGTCCAGATTTGTCATATCGGTGTGAGATTTCGTTTTTCAGTATGAAATTTATTAAAAATAAGTTCAGAAACAGACTCACTGAAGAAAACTTGCACAACTGTATTCGAATGGCAGCCACTACTTACTCTCAAAGCACTAAAAACTTGTTGATGACAAAAAAAAAAAAAAAAAAAAAAAAGAGTTCCATCCTTCAGATTAAAGTTGATAAGTCTGATAAAAAACTGTCGTTACATTTGCTATTTATTAGTTACGACACTATATTTTCTTTCTTAGTACAACTTAGTACAATTCAATTTCAGTTTCCTTTTGTTATATACAGTTTAATTAAAATTGATTCCGTAAAGTTTATAGGTAATAGACAAATGTAAGGATTTTCTAAAAAATTGGTAGCCCATAGTAAGATTTAAAAATGGCACGGTAGCTCAGAAGCTTCATAAGTTCGCCGACCACTGATATATAAGATACCATCCTCCAAGATCAATTACCTAAGTTTATTGAGTGTACCCGATGACCAAATTAATTCCAACAAGAAATAAGTAACAAACGCGTTGTAAAAATTCAATAACCCAGTTTTTAAAACATACTAGAATTACCCCTATATGACTTTAACATTCAATAATAATGTTAAAAAATTTACTTATAGTGCCAATGTATTCTACTTTTGAACACATACTGCGCATACTTTTGACATTTTGTTAATTTTATTTCTGAGTAGCTACAAGAAAAAATTTACTAATTTCTTGATTATATATATATATATATCGTTTCCATTGTTACACCAAAATGACCCTTCATAAAAAAAAAAAAAAAAAAAAAAAAAAAAAAAAAAACATCTTGCCGGTTCTTTATCGCGTCTTTTCAGAAAGCTAAGCACGTGCATTCTAAATAATCTTAGTTCATCTTCAATATTTAATTATGGCGACACAATGTCAAAAAAATATATTGCCAAATTACGTCGAATGATATGTTCTTTAAAGCAGTTGCAATATTTTAGTCAAGTATGAAGATTTTTTTTTGGCATTACAAATGCAGCATTTCATTCATAGCACATGGATCACGATAGATGAAGCTGGTTGAATATGTCCTCAGAAAGCCATTACATTTCCACGAAAATAAAGCTGTGTAGTTACTCCCTGGCAATTCTGTAAGATTTCCGTTGTACCAGACAGGAAAGGTTTGTAGAAAAATTGGAATTTGAAGATCTCAACGACACATTTACTGCTTATAACGTGCGAAAAAGAAGTAGCGGTGGAGAGAAGCCCAGGAGACCTTTCCTTGCTGTGCTGAGTGGAAAAAGTACTCACAAAACCGATTCGGTCAGATTTCATGCTCTCACTCTGAGCGATGAAGATTTTTTCATCGAAATCGCAGTGCAAAAGCTTGCTTTTACAATAGGTATTGTTACGAAATGTACAGGCATGGTAAGATACCTTCCCCACAAAGCAGGTTTAGGGTTGCCATAAAATGGCAAGGGAAGGGAGGGTTGCTACATTTGGCAGGAAATCGCCCATTTAGCGATATTTGGCGACAAAATTGGCGATATGCCATGGACGGATGGAGAACCTTCTGGAACGAGTTCTTACCGGTTTAGCCCAGAATATTCTCGAACACAAGGCAAAAGCTATATAAACCCTGCTGGTCCGCAGTCAGTTAGAGAGTGTCTCCCCAAGCGAGTTGATAGAGAGTCTTCTAGTGCATCGCGAATTAGTGCAACGTCGAGTTTTGTCTTAGACTGTGCTGATTCGAGAGTTATACTCTTGTGTATCGTCGAGTGCACCGCGTGGAGAGTCTCGAGATTACGTGTAGTTCCGAGAACGACCAAGCAGAACTGGGAGCTGTACTCTGGTGCTTTGCAGTGAAGCTGTCTCCACCGTTATTGCCTGACAGTGGGAAGGCTGTGTCGCTGAACGTATCAGCGTGTCTGTAACAGTTCGACGACTGTAAAAGTGAGTTTGGAGCTACCTGATTAATATTGGTAAATAAAGTGTGTTTCGATACTCCATCATGTGTCGTCGTTATTCACTCCAAATTACGAACCACGTACGAACGTGAAGGAAGAAAATAACGTTACAACTGGTGTCAGAAATAAGAAAGAACGCAACAGTATAAAAGCATTAAGTAATAATATAGGCATTAGGTAATAATAATAATATATAGGCATTAAGTAACATATACCATTTTCTACGCATTATGTGTTATCTGCGTATTATGTTTTTATGTTTCATATATATGAGTCGTATTATGTACTAAATAGTACTAAGTAGAATAGCAAAATATTCGGTTAACAATTTATCAATAATTGAAAAAAATCAAATCAACAAAATACATGCCCACGCTGGACCTTACTTCTGGATACTTTCAGATATGTGTGAAACCAGAGGAAAGTCAAAAACCGCATTCATTAACAAATCAGTTTATGCCTTTCATAGAATTCCGCTTAGCTTATAAGTAACACCTGCCGCGTTTCATAGAATTACGGGTGTAATACTAAGACCTGTCCTCGGAATATCTAAGTTTATTTATTTACACGATATAATATTTACTAGTGAGACAATAGGTGAATACATTCGAGGTTTGCGCAAAGTGTTTCCACTTTTGAAAGATGTACGTTTAAAGGTTAGTGTGGCCAAATGTAAATTTGCTGCCCGGGCTTAGTATATCTCAAAGAGGATTCGAAACCGTAGATTCTAAATTCGCAGCGATAAAAAATTACCCACCTCCTAACACAGCGGAGGAGGTGGCCTTATAAACATTTGTTACTTTTATAGGACTTTCATCAACGATTTTATTCAAATAATAAAGCCACTATTGGGCTTTAAAAGAAACAAATGCCAGGTTCACCTGGTCTGCAGAATCAAACATATCGTTTGAAAAACTTAAATCGTTAATTTAAGCTCCCGTTTTGAAATTTAAGCTCCCGTTTTGAAATTTCCCGAAGAGGACAGCAAATTAGAAATCTCCGCAGATGCATCGGGATTTGCTGTAGCTGCCGTGCTAATGCAAGACGTTTAGCTCTTTGCGTACTTAAGCATAACACGTATCCCAATTCTAAGAAATTACTCCCTATCAAGAAGGAAAGTTTAGCAGTCCTTTTGGCGGAGCAAAAATTTCAAGTGTATTTTGGAAACTCATTGGCTATTGTATTTTACAGACCATGCGGCCATCGTTCCTTTTTACGTCGGGAAGAATTTATCCCGCAGCTCATTCGATGGGCTCTTAAATAAGAAGAATGCAGTTTAATGTTTAAACACTCCAGAGAAAGAAAAGGTTGTAATGAATGAAGAATAAATAAAATAGAAAAAGACATGAAGTAAGTTGATCTTTTCTCAAGTTCTTGAATACTGTTCAAAGTTTGATTTAAATAAGACTGTTCGATTTATTATTTGAATCATCGCGAGTTGCGGTCATTGTAACACAAAAACGTACACTTACATTCTGTTTAAGTAAAAATGTTACTTTAACATTCTAAAGACTTCGTCATTGTTCTCAGACTTATCGATAATTTGCTTCATGTCTGTTAGGGTTATTGGACTAAAATATCATTGCCAGATCAAGTGAAAACTTACAAGCATTAATTTTTGACAAATGTCTTTAAGAAGTTAAATGCAAAATCTAAAACTTAAGCATGCATTTAGCATGGCAAGAAAGAAGCGAGAGAGATATAAACGAATTTTATGTTAAATGTATATATATACACATATATATTTTTTATTTTAAATAGGGACAGTTCAATAATCATTGTCCGAGTCAACGAATCACTAAAAGAAGCTCCCAGGAAAAACGAGAGCGTAGACGTAAGATATATGTTTACATTTCTCTGTTTAGTATTTTTCCTTGTACTTTGCACTCCACTAACAAAAAAATCTAACTTCATTAGGAGTCCAATAGATTAAAATGTTCATCATATATGTGCATTATAGAGATATTAACAGACGAATTTTTGAAGTTTTATAATTATTATATTACATCATTTGACATTGTTTTAAACCAATATTTCTGAGAACGTTTCACCGTATTTATAGACTTACAGAATTGTAATTTTTATGTTATTCAAAATACTCCTTTCACCGATCAGTAAAAATATTTAAGTTTTTTATTAATATGTGGTAATAATTATATATGGTTATATGAATTTCTCAACAGATCGGTGACGGTGACTTATAGTGAGTGTCACTAATTAAGCGAGTCACGAAAACGAATGCATTATAAGATATAAAAAGGGCAATACGTTCCAAAACAAATATTGTGTATATTCAGTACTTGTATTCATGTCTGAAGTAATATAAAATACTTATGATCATATTAAATCAATGTAGCATGATAAATCAACTTGATTATTGTACATATCACCATTCGAAGATGGATTATCATTGCTATGGCGGAAGTGCGAACGTATTAATCAACAACGGTTCTGGGTGGCTTTTAGCTGGTTACAGCATTGACCTATGAATGACGTGAACCAAAATGAATGAGTCTGAATAACATGAACCCACATACATCAACCAGTGATAAGAGGTCGAGGGAAGAGTTAGAAAGGAATCAAGAGCTCTTTCTTTGACAGTGAAGTTGCAACAGCTATATTTCATAGCGGTAGCAGATTATTGCTAACACGTTAAACGTAATAAATGACACTGTTTTCGAATTTTTAGTTATTTAATGCAAACCTTTCTCAATTTTGCACAATTCATCAACTATATCAATCTGTGAGACGGTGAAATACAATTTGAATATATGCGTAATTAGAAAATTTTTCAAATCTAATGAGAGATAGGAGTTATATAAATTGGATGTGTAATTGATTTTTCACCTACATACAGAAAATAAAATACAGGAATACCTCGCATAGTGCGGCTTCACTTAGCGCGGACTCTGCTATAGTAAGGTTAGTAATTTGAGTAACATATTTGACTCGCTACATTTTACCCTTTTTATTATCTTACATTAATTTTAGGTCAATATGCAAATATTCTTATTCTAGCAAAATTTCATGGAAACAGATTACTAATTTTCCTGTAGAAATAATTTTTCATTTACTGCAGATTTGTTAATGCGGTACCAGTTAACAGTAGTAAGACAGGTATTCCTGTGATACTAGACTATGGGTCCCCAAAGAAGTCGGTATTGACATGAATAATAAGCAATGCCCAATGCGATTCGAATTCTGGATCTCCTAACTGCCTGCCGTAATTTTTTCTAATTATATCATGGGAGCATGCGGTAAGGAGTCAGAAAATACTTTACAATCGTCCTCTCTTAAAAGGCTGGGAAGAAGGTGACCCAATTGCCAAATCGCCTGATGGTGATGAATTACCAGGTTTAGTTTCTATCATATTTTAGTTTGGGCACCGCTTGTAAAGATTTTCACATTTTTCGAAGTCCAGAAACTGAAACAATGAGCGGCACCTTCTCCAGGATTAGAATTCCTGACCTCCTGACTGCCTGTCGGACCTGCTTCCAATTACACCACGAAGGCACGCGGTAAGGAGGGAAACTTCCTTACAAAGTGTCTAGCAAAGAAATGCACAATACTGAGAAGGTTAAGGAAATTTCTCCACGCAGGTTTTTCAGTTACGATTACGTCTTACAGATTCCTCTTAATTTGCAGCAAAGTTTAAAATGTCTGTAATAAATTTGTATACTATGGCTATGTTGTGGATATTGTCTGAATGCCTGCTAACATGTTATGGGAGCAGCATGTCTATTTGAGTCATTGATACATACCGCAGGAAGCGTCATTTAATATTGCCTGTGATATTTAGTGATCTTTGCATGCCCTCTACATTCCATTCAAATAACTTTATAATCAATGTTTACAGTTTTTTTATCTGGAGATCAGTATGTTTTATAGTGACATTGCATTTTCCAACAGAAGGCTCAGCATATTATGTTCACCTAAAGTTAGGCAGCAGTATAGACTGATACTCCATTCTAAATGAATGTCAAAAAATTCAATAACAGCTTTTCTTCCAGGTTAGAAATAAGCTTTCTTCTTAACAGGATCAGTATAAAGCTGATGTGCGAGAGTGACAGCTGAAAACCGTACCATAAATTTAAGATATCAAAGTGCAAAGCAATTCTATGGATAAAATTGTAGTTGAAAATTAGCATTTTAACTTTAAGGACTTTTAAATAACATAAAGGATCATTTCACAGATTCCTTTTTATCTGTAACTTAATTTTTTTTTATCTCTTGCGCTCTCAAATCATTATGCGAATTTTTAAAGCCAGAAAACGTATGTCTGCGATGTTATCGTCATGAGATAATTTGCAGGTGCTTTATTTTTTGCGCAAACGTGACTGCTGAACTGAATGTCGCACTCGCAAATCCTGTCAGCACCAAAACAACAAGAAGGAAGCTCCATAAGTAGAGTATTTTTGAGGGAACTGCAATTCAAAAACCACTCCTCAGGGTTCAAAATGTCTGTAAGAGGGGAACGTGGTGCCGAATTCATAAAACATGGACTGCAGAGCAGTGCAAGACAGTCATTTGGTTGAATGAGTGTTGCTTCATACAATGTACCTTAATTTAGTCAACTGGTTTCGACTTCTGGGCGAGTTTGCATCTGGCCAACTCCGTCCCAAATTTGCACCTGGCCAACGCCGTTCCAAGTTTGCATCTGGCCAACGCCGCACCTATGATAGAGACTGTTTGCTGCGGATAGTGAAAAATGCTGGGGGTTTGGTTGAGTGAACAAGAGCTCTGTTGTCAGCTCGCATCGTCCAGGACTGTTTTTTCTGAACATGAGTATGAACTTTCACATCTTCCATGGCCACCAGAGTCACCAGATATCAATATTATTGAGACTGTGAGTTCTTTTGGAGAGAAATATGTGTTAAGCGCTATCCGCCGCTGTTGGTTGTGCATTAGCACTGAAGGCGTAATGAGTACGTTTCCTCAAGCACAGAATTAAAGAATCATAAGTCAAAAAGATTAACTACGAAATCTTTATTTAATAGGATAATTTGGCTTAACTTAAGCATAACAAAAAAGTAATAATGTTCAAGGACATTAAAATTGAAGTATTGAAAAGAATAACTTACAGAGAATCATCATCAGTACTAAATATCATCAGGCTTACCTATTTTAGGCAATAAGAAAAATAAACAGGAATATACTTTGCCATCGTACCTGAAAGAGAAGAAAGTACTACTGGATTAGACCTTTGGCCAGGTACAAGTAGCTAGGGTGAAAATCAAATATACTGCATTGCACACGAGCTTTACTTTCTCTCGCCAATATATACCTTGGCGCACGTTCGTTTCGTATGCCTTTCGAGTTTCATTATGCAAAATACCTAGATTTATGCTAACAGCCGCCACCATCGTTAACTAAACTTACCAACCTTTCACAGAAAGAACGATACAAAATTCCCTTACAAAGCGTAGAAGACTTGTTCATTCCGAGAAGACATGCAAGTTGTTTTGAATGTCGACGATTTTCCTAGTATTAGTGACAACAATATGTTTTTTTTTCGGTGTTCCCATATTTGTCCAGCTCCTGTATATATACACATTAGAGTGGGCAGAAAAAAATCGCCTAACTGTTCAAAATAAAAACAAAATCTGTGCAAAATGAAAAAAAAAAAAAAAAAAACTAGGCAAAATGAAAAAATATATCTTCCGCCTAACTGTAAAAAATGAAAAAAATATATCTTCCGCCTAACTGTGCAACATAAAAAAAATATATATCTTCCGTTAGTGTATCGCTCTCGCAAATTTTGAAAATCAGAGAAATTTGAAATTTTAAGTCAATTTTTTTAATTATTACTATCCAAATGCAGTTGTTCTTGATGTGAATTTTGTGGCACGAACAACACAAAAAGATGTTTAAAACCTGTGACTTTGTATTATTCATTGTTTGCGCTGAAAGCTCAAAAACACAATTTTGTGTAAAAATAGCAATATTTCGTTATTTCTGATAATTTTATTCTTTCATTGTTAATAAAGGGTAAATATATTCACCATTTTTAATTTTCTTATTCAAAAGAGTGCGCCTTAAAGTTAGTTCTTTAGGAAAATTATGAGCATAATGCATATTGATAGAAGGATCATTCTGATCAAGTCTTTTTTTTCCTTAGCGCAAACACTTTTTTTATATGCGTCGGTCACAAGTTTTACATACCATTCTACAGCCTGGGTGTGACAAGGGAAGTTTTGGAAATCCGGTTGCAGCAATCTGCCAGTTTATAATAATTATTTCATGCCCTTAGGCTTAAAGATCCTTAATAAAGGCGGAAGAGAGATTGCAGTTATAAGCTTCCACCAAATCAGAATGCTGCCACCTCTTGTTTCAAAATTCAGTTTTGGCGTGGTTCCGTTTTGGCGTGGCCTTGGCAAGTGATCGATCTTTAAATAATTTGTGCAGTTCTCTGATAGGCTCCAGTTCTCTGATATATCCTTTCATCCATAATCATTACAAAGATCAAATTTTCCGGCTGAGCAAGGAAAACATTTCACTGAATTACTGGGTTGATGGCTTCAAGTAAAGTTGATGGCTTTAAGTTTATCGTAGTATTCTATTGTCTAAAAAATATATCTATTGACCGTTTGTGGAATTTCTGCTATAATGATTTTGAATAGAAGAAGCCTGTAGTAATTCAAAATAAAATTTATGAACTGCTTAATGATTTCGTAAGTTCAGGCAAAGTCAAAGAACTCAGTCTGTTGTTGTCTTCAGTGCAAAAGCACACAAGGATAATAAGATGCTAAATCTTCTAAAATTGTACCTTAATTTATGGCCACAGGGGTACCAAGTATGTATAACAGATCCTTGCTGAACAAGTTTCTGCCAAAT